TTAGCGGTCCAGACCAGTGGATCAACTGGTCCCATACCCTGCCTGCTGCAGTGGCCATCAGCAGACACCCTGGGAGCAGCAAGGACAGGCTACATTTGTATAAGACTTGCCCTAAGCACTTTTCCAGCTTCCAGATATTTTCATCTCAGGGGATTTCCAAAGCTGCTGTTGTTTGTATGTTTAGGGTGTGCCTACATTAGCATTTTAATTTGGAGCAGGAGTCTGTTTTGAAGCGAAGAGCTTTGACTCAGCAAAGTGGTCCTAGAGCACCAAGCTGGAGTCCTTCCAGACAAAACTAACCCGGAAGGTGCTCTCCAGGACAGCTCTTAATTCCTCCAGCCCCTATTGAGGATGCTCAGGACACCAGATCTGGCTGGACCTACAATGAAATGACCTCCCAGAAACAGGTCATTGCCACCACTTGTTTGGTCCCACAGACTCAACCTGCTAGTGCAGACATGGCCATAGCACCCCTGAAGTCCTCTCTTCCAAGGGTGTCTCCAGGATCCTCTTGAACCTTTGTAATCTTTTGGGCACCTGGCTTTTTTTTTTTCCTCAGACTAGATACAAGGAAGAAATTTTTTATGCTGAGGGTGGTGAAACACTGGAACAGGTTGCCCAGAGAGGTGGTAGATACCCCATCCCTGGAAACATTCAAGGTCAGGTTGGACAGGCAACCTGATCTAGTTGAAGATGTCCCTGCTCATTGCAGGGGGGTTGGACTAGATGACCTTTAAAGGTCCCTTCCAACCCAAACCATTCTATGATTCTGTGATTATTTTATCCGAACTCCTCTTTCTTGTGTTTAACCTGGCTACTGCCAGCTTCCTTTGGTGATCTTGCTTTAGTATTGGGGCAGGCAGCGGAGAGCTGATCCTCACCCCCTTTTCTGCTCATGATTTTGTGGAGGGCTGGGTTTTCTCCTGTACTTGCCTGTGTTTGTGATGCTCAGGAACAGGATAAAATGAAATGCAAGTGCTATAGAAACATAAGCATTTCCCTTGGCTAATATTAAAGTATGCCTGTTACTATGAAGTTAGCTGAGGTTGAACAAATTAACCTCCTCCTATCAACAAATGTAGAATAATGGGTATAACAATAATGTGTTTTGTGGCTATATAGCTTGAGTTCAGCAAGGCTTTTGCTGCCCTGACAGTTAAATCTTTTCACGTAACAATCTTATAAGCAAACTAGTCTAGCAGAAACTACAGCAGAATGGTATAAAGCTGTTTAGGAAACCACGTCGAGAGAGAAGTCAGTGAGAGCTTGCTGTTAAAATAGAAGGATGGCTACAGCAGCATTCCTCAGTGTCTGCCTTGGGCCCAGCATTTTCATTAATCATTTAGATGACGGAACAGAATGTGTTTGCCTATTAAATATGTAGATGACACCATGCTGAGAGGGGCTGCAAGTTCTTTGGAGACAGGATGAGAACTCAAAAAATGGAGATGTGATCTGAATAGGAGCAGGTGTGAGGTATACATTTAGGCAGGAATGATGAACTGCACAAATGTGGGATGGGGAATGTTGGCAGCTCCTTCCAGGCTCTACCTTTCCCTGCAGACCGCTCTCAGTACTCCAGATATTAGTGGCACACCGAGTACCCTCAGCCGCTGTTGTTTTTCTTGCTCCAGAATTTGTCGGGGCTTGGGCTTGTCGAGGCTCTGGGCTTAGCTGGGTACTGGATTCTTTAATTGGGTTTCCTTATGAGGACCTGAGAGCAACCATTGGACAGTGAGCTGGTAACCCGGCCGTGCACATGGAGGCTGCCCTGTTGAGCAGCCTTAATCCAAAGAGTACATGCTATGGTTTCCCTTTACATACATGGAATAAGTTTCTTACACACTATGTCACGTTTCCCCCCGTTGGTTACTGCCGTCTGTCATGCTGTTCCTAACAGACTGGTCTCCTGAGTAGGCTCAGAAGCTCCAGGCATTAGCAATGTTGTGTATTCTGTTCATGTGCAATGTTTGGCCAGGTCTTTGCGAAATGACCAGTTAGGTGCTGCTTTTTCCTCGGAAGATGATCTAGGGATCCTGAAGCTAACATTTACTGGAAATATCGCAGAGAATGCAAATTGTCCCCTGCCAAGTGGTGTCCAGGGAAGGGTAGCCTGCGGGATGCGGGAAGTAAAGCTTTGCTCAACTTTGCTTTGGATTACTGTGTCCAGTTTGAGGAGAAAACAGAGAGCAGTAGTCAAAGCCTACAAAAGAGGATTGTCAGGGAAGGGTTAACCTAACAACAAAGGGGATGTGAGAACAGTCTTCAAATGCATGCAAATACCATGAAGGGAAGAATTTTTTCCCCACTTTCACGGATGGAACTTAAATTGCTGTAATGAATGCTGAACTTTTATGTTTTGTTTCTAATGGTATGGCTGTTAAAGCAGCAGAGTAGATTGCCTGGAGAGATCCGTCAGAGCAAAACAGACAAACCTCTCTTGGGAACGATGCAGATACAGTGGGCCCCAGAAAGGTGGGCTGTGGTGCGCCCTGCCAACCTTGGGGTCCCGAGGTAGGGTTGGGAGTCTGTCAGGTTAGGGTCTGGCCCATTCAGGCAGATGACTTGCACCTGAGAAGGGTAGATGGAAATGAGCCTCCACCCAAATTTGCAGCCCTGGGTTTGAAATTTTGAATGCAGCAGACTTAAATGAAGGTGTTTGCAAAAATGGAAAGCTGGATGGCTCTTGCAAACAGGCTTTCTTCCCCAGTCTCACTAAACTTTGTTCTGTGTGCTCACTCTTTTAGGTTTACTTGCGTTTATTTCTCATGAAGTTTTGTTTATACTTTTTCCATGCTATTTGTTCCCTATTTTATTTAGTATTATTATTACTACCCCAAGTTTAATACTTAAAATTTTTACGTATATCACATCTGTGAGAAGAATTTAAAAAAATTTGGATCTAAAGCCAAACTCCTAAAAATACTGTCAGAGTCCAAGAGCAACCCTAATTTCAATTAGTCAATAGGAAATGGAATTTTTCATTCTGAATTTTAAAGCACATATTTAGAACATCATTGGCCAATATACCTGTGGAAGAAATTCCAGTCTGTTTATTTTACTGGGTTATAATTTATTTCAAAGCTTTTGTGCATTGTTTTCTTTCTTCTCTTTTTCTTTTTTGTTAAGGGTTTTAATAATAAAAATAATGTATAGCAGATAAACTCATTTAAGTTTAAAAGGTTGGGAAAATTTGTACTAGTTAAGTTGTGATTTCTTATTTACATTTTAGTACAGTAGGTGAAAGCAGTCAGCATTCAAAGAATTAGTTCTAATAAATATTCTGAAGTGTACCTTGTCATAGGAAAAAAATGTACATGATCTTCAACATTTAAACCTCTGTCTTTAGTTATGTAGACTGACGTGGCTGGATGATTTTTGTTGATTGGCACATACGCAGAATCACTCTTTTAGGTATAGGTCGAGTCTTTTTTGGAGATTCTTTATTTTACCTTGAGTTACATCTTAACTTGTTATGCTGCTTTGTTTAATGTAGCCTGAGATACTTAGGTAAAAGTATAATGTGAAATATATAGTAAATACTAACTTCCATTAAGTGTAGATTTGAAGGCTGAACATGAGAACTTCAAGACCTTTTCCTTTCATTCAGCACAAGCAACCGTTATTATTTTGAGTAATTGTGAATATGTGGTGTTACACAGATGTCCAGAATCTCCTCCTTAATCTAACCTTTGACCTCAACAGGATGTTTTTTTAGGAGAAAGAATCACTTGTGTGAGAAGTATACCTGTCTTCAAACGGGAATGCCATGGTGTAGGCTGATTAAAAAGTAAATTAATATTGATACAAATATACACATCTACTGAACTCTAAAGAGTAGTTAATGTTAACTGAGAAGTGAAATTGATAAATATATCATATGCTAAAAATTCCAGCTGCTTTCACAAAAATAGGTTTTTTAGGAAAAAAAATTAACAATAACCATCAAAATAAAAGTCTTTTCTCTGTGAACTTAAGACTGTGAAAGGAAGTCTTGAAAAGAGATTTAAAAATGTGTTGTTGCATTTCTGAGGAGTATGGTACTTCTAGTTAAATGAGTTAGGAAGGATAATTTATGCTGGGTGTCTGTTAATGTTCAAGCACTTCACTGTTAGTGAGTCTGCGGATGTTAGAATAGCAAAACATCTTCCACCTACCATGTTTTCAGGAAAAGTTTGTTGTTCTTACATACGTAAATCATGGTTCTTTTTTACCTGTTCAACAGCAGTAAATATTTTTGTAAATAAATTTTGCTGAAGCATAATGATTAGTGTACAATACTGTTTATAAAGAATGTTATCCTGTCTTGAAGGTACTCATTGGAAAAGTTTAGAGTAGACCTTTGAAGAATACCATAAATTTCATCTTCATAGTTGATGCGTATTTAAAACATATTTAAAACTTATTAATTGAACTTACCCTGGGAAAATAAGGACTCAGTTTTATGCCATATTTAGAAAGAATTCTATTCATCTGGCTCAAATGTGGCAATCTAAAAGTAAAGTGTCTGCAGCCAGGCAATTTGGAAAAATTTTCAATTTCTGTAAGTTTTTTTTTTTTTTTTAATCACAGCTGGATGTTTTTTTCTTACCAGTCACCACAATGGTTATCTTAAAGCTTGTTTGAAAACTTAGAATTAAATCAGTGTTCTTTAAGAAAAAGCTGGTATCCCTTAAAATTGTTCATTTAGAGTTAATCTTGTCTATGAAGTGATATGATCTTCTCTATGATTTGAAGGAATGAAGATTTTTTTTTTACTTACTGCTCTTTTCTTTATTTACTGAAACAATTTATTCCTCTGTTTTTACATATAACTTGAACTCGATTTAATTAATATTTAATATTTATCAATATTGCCACTTATCATTGTAGATTTAATTATTTTAGTTATGACTCTTTAGTGAATGTCCTGGGTTTAGTGTCACATGTAAAAAGCAAGTAAATTGAACATTTTGAAGTTTAAACTGAAAGGTAAAAATGTAATTTCTTTACTACAGCAGAATACAGTACAATCCACAGCCCTTCAACACCCATTAAAGATTCAGATTCAGATAGATTGCGTCGTAGTTCAGATGGGAAATCACGTGGACGTGGCAGAAGAAACAATAATCCTTCACCACCACCTGACTCTGATCTAGAGGTACATTATATTAGATGTCTTTGACCTGGTACAGACTCTATTTTTATCGCTATTTTGCAGAGTAGTATTTACACATCAGAAATAAAGTGGCATTGGAGCACCCTTTCTTTTTTTTCTAACACTGTTTTTGTAGAAGATAGAATTTTTCTTCTAAAGAAACTTCTTCATGCAGAGCACGTACTTTCTCTGAAAAATACTGGGGGTTTCTTTCTCCTTTTGATTAAAAAAAAAAAAAGCAAGCTTTTCCCAAGTCAAAGAAAGGTTTGCGTTTGGACAGGAGACACTTCTAGCACAATAGTGGTTATTGTTCTCTCATGCTATGTTCACATTTCCCTCAGTGGCCCATGTTGTGTTGAGAACACATCTCCAGTGACACACCACAGCTATGAGTGTCCACACAGCATTACTTTTCCATTCCAAAAGCTTAGCCCATTTGTCATCAAGGGAAATACAATCTCACCAGGATTTAAAATACTTGTATTTGAACACTTTATTTTTCATTAAAATATCGTTTTGTGTGTGGTCGGAGGACAAATTTAAAACACATATTTTCCATTGGCTGTAAGTGAAAGAATTATTTACTGATGCCATAAATTCTTACACATGCAACATCTAAGTTCATAATTTTCATTCTTCAGGTGCCTAAAATCCATTAAAAATGAACATAGATTAAGGGGTTTTAAGTACTTAGCAGCAATTTGTTTTTTTTGTTTGTTTTGTTTTTAGAGGTCATTTTCAAGAGCAGTTACATGAACTTTGTTTTGTAAGACTTGCAGAAATACAGAATTCAAACCCAGAAGATTTAATTTTCGGAGGCTTCTCTTCATTTGTTTCAGTTTCTATCTCACATCTGGCTTTAAAATAATACATTGTACATCTCATTTTCTGTGTGTATTTGACAATAACTATAATTTTATTCTAATAGAATAATTTGATATAATAGTAATTGTAGTAAAAAGCTAACAGATTGTATTACCCTATTCTGGAAAAAACTTGTTAGTTCTGAAAATAAATGGCAAGGAAACTATGGTTTTAATATATAACCATTTCAATACAATTTTCTCATTTGTGCACTTACTGATTCAAATTTTAACTTTCCATTTCAAGTATCAGCTTCACAGAGGAACACATTGATTTGATTCTCTTTTTACAGAGAGTATTCATTTGGGATTTGGATGAGACAATCATCATTTTCCATTCCTTGCTTACAGGGTCCTATGCCAACAGATATGGAAGGGTAAGTGTCAAGAAACTGATGGAAATTTTCAGTAATATTTGCTGGTTTATGGTTGATACACAAGGAATACCAGAACATTAGTTGATTTTCCAGAGGCAAAATGGTACTGGTGTTTCAAGACATAAAAAAATCAAGGAGTAAAGCTGTTTCATATGCCCATTCTTTGCACTTACTCAGCTCTTATATTCAGTAAATAATTAAATAGTATTGGGAGTAATACTTTGGCTGCTTGAGATCTGATTTGTAGGTACAGAGTGTCTGAAACCTGTTGATACCATCAAAATCTGCAAAGGTTTAGCTCCCCTCAGAGAGCAAAGAACTTCCAGGAGTGATTGCTAAAATAACATTTTGGTTCTGAGCGATTGGCAGTGGATTGTGCTCTGTATTGGGAAGGCAAGAGGAAGAATACTTCCGGACATAGACAGATTAGTCTGAAATTTTTTACCTTAACTTTTTTTTTAATCTACACATTGACTGATGTTTTTGAAAGTCTGCTTATGAGTCAAATCTTTCTATTATGTACAGTCTATAAATCATAACTGAACTGATGAATATGTCTACAGACTGTGGGTTTCCTTGGTAATTCTCAGAAGAGAAACATGGTCTTAGGTGAATAAGAACAGTTTATGAATGGAATGCCCTTGTGAGACGCAAAACAAACTTTGTTTTTCCAGCATTGTATTTGAAAGCTGATGTCTCGGCTTCTGCTAAAATCTGTTGTGCCACTTCATGTTCACCTCATATGACGCATAACTAGAATGTGATTTTTTTTTTTTTTTTTTTGGTAACCTTAAAAAATTCTTCATATACAGAACAACAGATAGTTTTGTCTGGCTTCATGTAATCACTCTGTCTTCTTGTAAAACTTGCATTTATCAGTAAAAAAAGTTTTACCCTACACCCAGTTCAGTGAAGGGCAAAGCTACTACTGATTCAGTCCATACCTGGGTCAGGTTCTGAATTCCTCTTAATAGATTATTGCATTATAAAAATCTAAAGCAGCACTTCTTTGCAACCCTTCTTGCTTGTTCCGGTGTGGTGTATTTTCAGAATTGTTTGCTGTAATAGCAGCTTACCTGTTTGAGGAATATAATTAGATTTTTTTATCATGTGCCAGAAAAGCAAGTTAATTCAGCAGCCTTCATTTCCTATGTGTTAATAGTTTCTATTTAGGTAGTAAAAAGACACTAGCACTTTAAATGTTTCAACTATTATTGTATGGATACATGTAGACAGTAGCATTATAGAGTATTTACAAAAAGTTGTTTTCCATTTCTCAGTCTTCTGTGAAGATATGACAAACTCCCTCCAAAACCAGCTTTTGCGTGGCACCTCAAAATCACCAAATTTGTGACAGTTCAGCTCAGAATGAGGAGAAGAAATCCTAGTGCTCACAAAAAAAACTTGGTGCCAACAGAATCTCACCATTTGCTTTTGGGCAGTAGAGCAGGGCTGGAAAAGCCTAATTAGTCATTGCTGTAGAAGTACTTGTGCAAGCGTATTTTTTCCATTTGTTACCAGTTCCCTATAGTGGTTTCATTAATCGGGGCCTGAACATAAACACCTTTCTTCCTGGGTGCTTGAGGTTGAGGAAAGTGGCTAGTATGCAGCTGTGAAGAGATATAAATACATATGCTGCAAGGAGGTGGGTGACTCCTGATTGCAGCTCCATCGCTGTTGGCACTGTTTACTTGAGATGTAGCTGTCGCCCGGGTGGCTCTGGTTGCATGTGGCAGAATACTTCTGCATTGCTAAATGACAACAGACCGTCGATGTTTAGAGGGATGACGGGATTAGTGCTTATGCTGCGGGTAAGTACCCCTTTTTGATGAGGGGTAGCAACGTGCATGTCCTTGGTTCTCAGATGCAGTCATCAAAGTGGCCCGTTCTTGCTTTGTGTTTTCTTAAAGTTTCATTCCTATCACAATTTCTCTTGGCTTATGGACAGCTTCAGACAACAGTTAGCGATTTCCATAGACATTAGAGGAAGATAGTGTCAAATGTTCAAAGCAAACATGCTAAAACATGTATCTGTCATATGAGAATTGTAGGGTTTATTTGCAGTGATGGGAAGTGCACATTTTTTTTAAAGAGTGTTTCCTAATGATTTCTGGCCTTTAAATCAGAAATCCAGATCATAAGTCAATCCAAAAAAAAAAGAAAAATTTTTGAGGGGAATTCTTGTTCTTTTCACCTGTATTCTGCTTTTTGAGCAATCTTAACGTCACGTTCTCATGTGTTTCTGCACTGTGATGAGGGCTAGAAATGCCCTTTTAAAAAATTAAATCTAAGCTGCTCACATAACCATTAAAATACAAAAGCTGGATCTTCAAACAAACAAAAATATCCTAATTAAATAGTAGGGGATTTGGCAACCTGGCATTCAGCTCTTCATAATGCCTGAGTGAGTTTCATGGTGAATGACTATGAATGATGAGCAGCCCTGCTGCTGAAGGGATTGATTTATTTTCCTTATTCTCTACCTCGTTCCTCATAACTTCTTGCTTGTGCCACCCTTTTCTGTATTCTTACTTTCTCTTCTGTTTTTATCACCTGCTCTCCTTTTGCTGCTATTGTACTCTGCTTTCTCCCTGCCTTTGTCCTTCAGCTTTGTTGGAACAAAATAATACCCTTGTTTTTCAGTTTGCGCAGTCATGGTATAAACTGCTATATTTTTATTTAAGTGTGATTTGAATGTTGTGAATTTCATGGACATGTGTGAAACTAGTTTAGGAATATGATTTTTACTTCCAGAAGAGAAGAAAAAGAAACAAAACAAAACATTTCCATTTGCTTTTGGATTTTTTCTTTTTTTAATATGTACAGAGAGAGCTCTATTGATCAACTATCAAGTTATCAGTCACTTTAATTGACATTAGGGATTCTGACACCTCAAAACTTATGTTTTGAGCCAGATGTCAACTGACTGAGTTTTGGAATTTGGAAAAAGTTGGAGCCCTTTAGTATCTTGGAGCAGGTGGAAATACATCTCAGTATAGGCACTGGGATACTGTAGTCTTTCCATACATTTCCATTCTCCATGAAAGCATTTATAGTCAGAGGCTTTAAAGGCATTTTCCTTTAAATTATAAGCTATTTTAATGTGGTTTAATATATTTTAGAGATTGAGAAAAACAAAGCCTGGTTTCACTTAACCCTTCATTTGTGACCTGTAGGCTTAAGTGGAAAATAAGCCTTGTACCCAAAGTGAACTTTCCTGTTTTTCAGCTTCTTGTTTCTCCACAAAACAAAGAAATCAAGTGGGTAGAATTCAGAAATGACATACAGACAATGTTTTGGCTCCAATACCAGTATTCAAAACAAGAGGCCTGATTAAGCAGTTTGACATTGGTATTTCTTTTCTTTAGCTCAACTGTACCTCCCTCAGAGATTTGTACCTGATTTTGACCATACCTGAAAAGACACTCCACCTGAACCTGCAAATCCCAATCAACAAGAACAGATTGTTAGCTTTCCTCCTCATTGTGTGACACCTCACAATAATTAGTTAGCAATTAGTGGCTTAAAATTGCAAAAGAAGGTTCAGTATGGGATTATTTTTTTTTAAATCTTATTCTAGCCTTGTCTTCTTTTAAAGTTTTCAGCCCCCACTGCAATGTCTGACATCAGAGTTTAATCTTCTGCAGTGGTTTAGACCAAGGCTCTTGTGCTTTTCGCTAGAGCAGTTGCAAGACTGTGACTACACAGGTATTTAAAACCCTAATGCAGATAAGGTTTTTGCTTCTGTTAAATATGTGGGTATCAGGGCTGCAGTTTAACACAGTTTTTATGCTAAGTGGAACATTCTATAGAAAAAGATTGTGTTTAATCAAGGAATTAAAGTTTCTTTGAAAAGCAACCTGTTTTGTTTCTTCTCTTAGCTTTTATGGTATTTAATCTGACATTTTCAGTAGGTGCCAATGATTTTCTTATTTGTTTTTCTCCTAATTAAATTAACCTAATAAATGGCATTATTTTAATATTACTTTAGAGAAATCCCCATTCTGTTTTGTCTGCCATTTAAAAATACCTTGGAGTGAAACGGTTCACAGAAAGATTTACAAAAAGCTATTTTTTTAAGACTCAGAAGTGTGATAAAAAGTTTAATAAAAATGTTTAATTTAAGTCATGTGTACATTGAAACTTAACATATGTATTTACAACCATTTGTTTAAAATTAACCATGTGGGTTCATAACCAATATCATGTTCTGTCTGCTGATTTATTCTGATTTTTAAAATTATGTTCCTGTTTATGGATGGAAGCCTAGAATGGGATTAGTTCTACACTGTTAGGTTAGCAGTTGATAATCAAGATGTAGCTAGTGATCTTCATTTGCATCTTAGACACTTAGTCCATCTAACTCCTTTTAATAACTGGAGCAGAGAGTTCTGTGGGTTGCCTTCTGTTAGTGCTCAGGGACAACAGAAATCCTTGTCTGGCTTAAAAAAAAAAAGGCTAATGAGCTGTGAAGGATGGTGGGGTGGCAACTGGGCACAAAGACATGCAGGAATGTCAGAGGGAAAAGTAGCCTCAGGCCTAGCTAGAGAGAAGGTATCACCTGCTTTCCACCTCACATGCCTACAAAAGTAAAATAAAGGAAGACATAGGTCTACAAATAGAACAATATTAAAACAGAGAGACAGAATACTTTTGTTCATATTTTAAAGTCTTTCCATTTGAATTGAGAAGCCAAATACTCTCCATTTGAATTGAGAAGCCAAATACTCTTTTTTTGGCAGTGTCAGTTTAAATAGAAGCCTTATTTTTCAGGGCAAAGTTCATGAAAATAACATCATGCTTCCCCCTCCCCCCCCCCATTTTATAAAGGCTATTTTTCTGGTACTAGAAAACTTACTTACTCTTAACATATGTGAGCTCAAGAGTAGGTGTTTTGTCTGTTCTATGTAGCTTTGTTTCTAAATGCTTCTTTCCAAAATTATTTTTCTGGTTAGTTTTACTTGGGTTTTGGCATTTCCAGAAGTCAAACAAGCTGCCAAATCACTATTCTTTTCCAGCTCTTTGCTACTGACACATTTTGCCTTTTAACCAGTAGTTGTAGAAAAATGTTTGAAAGTTCAGAGATCACGTTGAAACACCTATTAATTTGATTGAGAGATGGAAGAAGATACTAGGGGCTGCATCTCTTGGTTTTTAACTTTGAGTTGTCATCAGGTTTAGAATATTAACTTATTTTAAGTAAAATATGGGTTGTCACTTCTGCAGTTCTATTTAAAATATAATTCCTAACAAACTAACATTGTTAATAGAGGGTGTCATGAGATAATATAACATGTTCTTTCAAACTCATGCTTCTGTGTGCTTGGATATACTTGGCATTCTAAATAAGAAACTCTATATCAAATGTATATATTAGGCTTTCTTTTTGATTTTTTTAGATTGAAAATATATAAAACACAAAAAAAATCAAAACAAGACAAACATCTGTAACGCATTTGGTAACCACAATGCTGAACATGCTTTTTGAGTTTATTAGCTCAGTAAGGAATAAGTTGTTATGGTAATTTCTGTAGAGAAGTTAAAGTGTGTTATGTATTAATAACAAACAATAGATTTGTTCACTCTGCATGGGTGGGCCAAACTGAAAGCATAATTAAAGCATGGTTTTGTGGAGAATCAAGGAGTGGTTTTAAATATAATTGCCATTTGCAAATAAAACATTAACGGTGATTTGCTTTAAAGTCACTAGGTATTCCCAGGACTGAATCCTTTCACTTGTGACCAGTGAGAGTTTATTTTGAGTTACAATAGCATTGTCATGCCCCTGGTTGATCATAAAACTTGTAAACAGTTGTAAAATCTGGAGAAATTTTAGGTGAAATGGATTTGCCCTTTCTGCACAGAGGGCAGAGAGCCCATGCCAGGGATGCACGAGGGTGACCACAGAGGTCCTGCTGCAGAATCACGGTATCGGTCGAGTTAAAGTCATATTTTTGAGTGTTACCGGTAAGTGTTATAGTACAGGATTAGAGAGTTGCTGAAGTTAAACTGAACAAGTGGATATTGCATTTAATACGTCAGATGATCTCTCTTGAAAAGCAATTCCTCCAGTTTGTATGCTGGTATGTATGTTAGGCATGGTATTGATGGTGTACTCGCTTAATTTCTTCTTTAAGGATCCACCCACCTCTGTATCTCTTGGACTCCGAATGGAAGAGATGATTTTCAATTTGGCGGACACGCATCTATTCTTTAACGATTTAGAAGTAAGTGTTCATTCGTTGAAAACATACAGAGGCAATTTAATAATTGTCTCTTTTTATGTGTTATTAGGTGGTTTGACATTATTTTTGGTTTCACAGTTTTAATATGGAAATGTTTAGAACATACCTGTATAATTTAGTCATTAGGTTATATAATAACATGTACACTAAATGTCTGCACTGGCATTTAAAGGTTACAATAGTTTAAATGATAGGGTTTTGTCTTCACAGGTCTTAGTATTTATGACCGCAATAGACAAGTTTTAGAAGTGGATACACCAAAAGTGTCTGTAAACATTAGAATTCAATAGTGTGCGCAGGCCATTAAATATTAAACTTCAGCTTCTATAAACAGTTAATGGCTGGGTACAGATTTCTCACTTACATCCCACTGTGGGCAAGTATGACCTTAAACCCGAGGGAAATCATTAATGTTGTATACGCTCTCTGTCTCAGTGGCCTGTTACTAAGGGTCCTCCGCCTTCCCCAGCGGCAGGTACGATTTGTTACACGCTAGGGTTTCTTTGCCTCTCCCCTGTGGCATGTGGCAAGGAGCTGGTGTTGGCATGCCAAGGGCTTTTTCAGCCAACGTAGGCTATGGTTTGGCGACGCTTGTGAGATCGTTCTAAAACTACCCAAACTGCTGAAAGAGACTGTCACCATAATGCCTGGCTGTTTCGTCTTAAAAGGGGAAAAAGCAATTTCTGATCATATTTTAATAACACGAAAACATGAAAACAGTCAGATTTCTTTCCCATCATAACGAAGACAGCTGTTTATTTAAAATCCAACTGTTAAGCAAGCTTTTGGTGGGGCTGCCAACACACATTAATCATCAACTTGTTGTTTTGCTAGATTTTAGAATAGTGTGTTATTCCAGACAGGCAAAAGAATCTAAAAGATTCAAATGCAACTTTTGCTGATCAAAGTTAATTGGCAGCAATTGGCCTTTAAATATTTCCTGATGTTTCCCTTTTCAAAATCAAGCAAAATACACCTTATTTAATAGATGAGCCAAAATCATTTGAAAAATGCCAGTGTGTGATAGACCTCAAATGTGGTTTGTCCAACATCTGTCCTATATTTTGATTTCTTTTCATCTAAAAAGAAACCACTCACAGATGATTTGGCATCTTAGAATGTAATGAAATTATTTAAATGTGCTTTATTTTTTCTTCCATTCCTTAGTGGAGTATTTATTTTTTATACTTACAATAAAATAGATGATTTCCTTAAATTTTAAAGTAGTGTTTTCTTTCATTAAGGTAGCTGTATGTAAAGATATGATTGTTTTGGATAAAAGAAACACCATTAGTGAGTTGCATGTATAGAACTGATTTTTCAGATTTGTGGAGAAGTATAACAATGCTAGTTATTTTCCAAATCTGTTTCTGATTTCTGGTTATATTTCATTTTATCCAGAGCAGAAAGAGAAAGTACTACTGTATCTTACCAGCATATTTAGTAAAGTTCAGCGTGTTTTCATTTGCTGTGCATAGCCAGATACTTTGTAGACTTGTAGCTACTTCTTCATACATGATTGTCAGTGTCACTGACTTTAATGGAAGCTAGTCAGCTGCATCTTAGGGATTCTGCTAATTGGCATGTTACAGCCTTAACAGTACAGCAGAGCAGTTTGTTCACTGAAGAGCTTTGAAGCTGTGTGTGAAAAAAACACTGATCCAGGTGGTTCACGGAAGCAGAGGAGCTCGCTGGATGAGCTTGGTTCCTTGCACTTCCCCCATAACAAGCCAGTTTATCTTGCATCTCCAAACTCAAGTGTAATAGTCTGTGTCTATACCCTAGTCTTTCTTCTTCATACGTAGAGGCACTTCGGAGTGAGCAGTTGTGTTCATGTCCTTGTACATGAGCTCTAGGTCCTTATTTCTGAAGAACATGAGCTCCGATCTGAAAGATCATGGTCTGTCCAAGGGAGAGAAGAGCACGTTCGGCAGTGCAGGGGAGTGGGTTTGTGCTTATGGATTGCCACAGAGAAGTCTTCAGAGAAGTACACAGGGAGGGGGCATAAGAGAGCCTGTACTTTGAGGGAAGCAGCACATAAGGACTAGACCTGGCCACAGACTGAGGCTCTCAGTTCACCAGAAATTTCAGGTTTTTTGAAACATGTTGCAGACGTGGTGGTTTTGAAGGAACATGCCCTCCTGGAGCTGCAGTTTGTCGTTCTTGTGAGCGTCACCATTATTAGCAGGGCCTGCCTGGTTCCCAAGGCCTGCGACCTCGGGGCAGATTCCGCGCATCCATCTCAGCAACTCAAAGTCCTTGCTTGGTGGTTTGGAAGTTCAGACTGCCCTACAGCTTGACAGGCTTCCATGAAAGCTGCGGGCAGTTTGGCTTGGCTGTGCCTCAGGCTCAAAGCATCTGTTCTTGCTGATGAAGGACTGAGTCTGGAAGATCTAGTGGTGACCCTGCTCAGGCCTAAGCTTTCTAATTCATGTGCATAAGCATTGGGGCTGTTAGGAATCGAGACGTGTGTAGGCAACGTTGCCAGCGAGCCGCAGAGCTTGGGCATCCTTGCCCAGAAATAGTATGAAGACAGGCAAAGCTGGATTTGGAACGTGTCTAACCCACAGTGTAGACATGTCTTTGGGTCTAGGCATAATTCAAAGCGGGAACCTGAAAGCTGATGCTCTCCGGCTCACCCAGGCTCAGAGGGAACCCTTCCTGGCATACAGAGAGGCTGGGTTTACGGGCAGGCAATCATCTGTCATAACTTTGGCCTACGATGCACATTTTTCCAGATACCACAAGTTAATGTTTTTTAATAAAAATCTTCTTTTCATCCGATGCATTCCAGAAAGCTCTAATCAGAACAGCTCTCTTGTTATCCAAGTTAGGGGGAAAGTATTCTGTCGTCTTATAAACTGCTGAAGACTCATTTAACATTTTGAATGCAAAGTGCAGAGTTGCAGAAGCACTGCTTGATTTGTATATGACCTAACTGGCTTTTCAAAGCTCAACCTAGAGATTTATTTTATGTTATTAGGTTAAATTCTAAACTTCAGCGGTCATTTTTTAGTCCGTATAAAGTGAATCAATGCTGATGCGTATCACTTGCAAACTAGTTTACCCATCCTAATTTAGTAGGGGATACAGCCAGGTGAATGAATCATCCAATTTCCTATATGTTGCTCTTTATGTAATAATAATGGTATTTGTAATTGGCATTTTTTAAACTCAATGAAAAAATGCGGTCAGATCTCACTGTCTAGCTCTGAAGTCAGTGTTCTGTTTATGAATGGGTGAGCTGCACTTAGATTTACTATTAGTTACTGCACCCTCAGTTTGTACTAGTTCTTAGTTTATTGCTTTAAGAAAAAGTAAGAGAGATGGCTTATTTCCTTCACTTTGCACAGATTTATTTGGAGTAATTAATTCCAAATTGATAGAATAGCAAATAATTTCAGGTCTTGAAGGAACATTTCTTAAACAGCATGTTCAAGGGGTATGACAATTTTTTTAACATACTGAAGGAAAATATTAATGTTTACTAATGTATAATTTGATCTAAGTACCATCATAAACAATGTTTTCTTGCGTTTCATAATGAAATTATAGAAGTATACTAGACCAAACAGTAGAAAATAGTGCAGTGTTCTCACAATTTAGATTCCAAAGTCTGCATTTGGGCTTCAAAATAGGAAGTTTAGGTTTTCAGTATTGAAAATTTTCATTTAAATATCTCACACTCTGTTCTATAGTAGAATTTTAATTGTGTGCGGGAGGGAATAACTATATTGATGTAGTGCTCTCGAGAGAACCAGAGTTATCTCATCAGAAGAGAATGTGTGATTTTACATGCCGATTATGTTGTGATAGGGATAATAAGGTATAATATTTTAATGGTATATATAGACCAATTACACATACTAGGTATTTTAGGGTGTATGCTCCAGTGTTTTTAGGGAAATTAGCACCTTGATGATAGGACTGAAGTGTGACATCTACCTATCTGCATCTTTAAAGATTGCATATATTTGTATATTTATACTGACCCTCTTAAAAGATTAGCTTATTCATTTCTTTGGCATATCAGGTCCATATTATGACTAGGTAAGTTAAAGGAATAATTGCTGGTAGTGAATGATTATGAACATCTTATTTTAAAAAGTTAGTTCAGTGCTTTGCAAACTCTGTTCTAAAATGGTACCATCTCATTAGATGTGTTCCTTTAGAGGCGTTTACTGAAGCTGAAAACGTCACTTATGAAGCCTTTTTTCTTTTTTTTTTTTTTAATCTTACCTAACACTTTTTTACAAATAAGAGACTTTTTTTTTTTTTTGGTCTGTGTTGAATTCTATTGAAGTCATTAAAATCAAATTAATTTGTATTTTTATTTCATGATTATTGTTTTTTTCTTTTAGGCTTTTTATTTCTGTCCATTTCAGGTTTTTGGTGTGGGCTTTTGTGGGGGGGTCCAAAATAAGGTTTTATTTTTATATATGTGTGTGTATATATATATAAAATTATACTATAAA